GTGGATAGCGAGTTCGTGAAGAACGGGGGGAACGCTGTTTCGTATTTCAAAATCGTGAATGGCGAGTTCATGAATAACCAGAAAATACGGTGCGGGTTATTCCCCGGTTTACGTCGGGTGATGCATTCCCGAAATATCGAAACGACGTCAATCCGAGCGGTTTACGGGGCAGAAATTATTGGGGTGGGTGGGTGGTGGCCGAGGCTGAGAGGTGACGGATTACGAGAAAGGACGGGGCGACGACGCCGCTGTCGGCGACGCAAGCGTGGGGGTCGAGGCGACGCTCATCGGGTCGCGGTGTTAACGATAACGCGACGACGTATTTGCGAAACGACGTGAAAGGGGCAGACGTAAATCGGGGTTTTGCTGTATACGGAACGTACGTTGAACTTTTCTCGCGCCGTACGTGGCCAATCGTGCTAATCGGAGGTGCGGGAGAAGGACAACAAACTAAACACCACAAAAATAAGTTAAAAAGTAAATTAGTTTTCAATCTTGATGATCTAAAAGTGCATAGCTTCAGTGGCTTCCTAATATCGGAAGGAAGAGCGTTCCAGACGGCCGCAGAAGCGCATCCGGTGTGGGGGGGGAGGGGGGGGGTCACCTCGCTGCGGTGCCTTCATCCTCAAACTTAGAACGGGGAGATGCAAACTCGCGCGCAACGCAACGCAACGCACGCACGCGTTTTCATTTTCTGTCACCTTTATTTAACCAGGTTCAAAAAAAATAAAACCTTCAGGTTCAAAACCTCTTTTGCGACGGCGAGACCAGACAAGAAGTCAGCGAAAAAATGTTGTCCCCATTCGCGCTTTGAGTATTCCTCATTAATAATTAAAACCTCAGACGGCCCGTGATACGTTTCACGAGGACAGACAGTGCCGCGTCTGGAATAATCGAGGAGGTTAATTTGCCATCCAAAAGGATGTGGGTTTGCTGGAGGGGGGGGGGGGGAAGGGGGGTGACGCTTTCGCTCGCCAACCTTTGAAGGTTGGTACAAAACAAAATCTATATTTTATATATTTTTTTAAAATGTTAACCACGAGTGCGCAATAGTACGGCTTCCCCCTTTATTTTGCGCCCAGAGCACAAATAATGCAACACAGAGATGAAAGGCCCGTACGGTGCACTCATTAAGTGCATCCAATGCTACGTTCATGAATTATTACAAAACACGGGTTGTTGTGGTTGTTGTAGTTGTTTCTTGGTCTGGGGTGGTAGGTGGTGGTGGTGGGTGGTGGTAGTGCTGGTGGTGGTGTCGAGTGGGGGGGGGGGGTGAGTGAATGCGCGTCCCTGCTTAATATTCACCGGAGAACTTTAAGAGCTGGGATCAATGAGTCGATGAGGTCATTAAATCGACCAAAAATTTGTAAATCGGCTCATGGCGCCCCCCCTCCCCTGAAGGCGGGAAACCCCTACAAAACCACACCTCATCACCTCCCGTCCAGCGGCACACGTGCGTGTGGGCGACGGAAGTTTTGTTTTCTTTGTCCGCTTTTGTTTTTATTTTCGCGTCGAGTAAATTGAACTGGCAGTCGGCTGATGAATCGTCTGCGTCAAGTGTCTGATGCGGGTGGAATTAAAAACGGGCGGGCAACGTTGATCTTAGGGGCGCCGTGGTGGATAGGTGTTTGCCTCTATCTCTCTCCCCGTGGAGATGTTAACAACCTCGCCTGGTATTACAGAAGTTCGTACGGTTCGTTCCCGACCCTGACGATGCCTGCTGTATATTTGGACTGTGCGTCTCTCTCTCTCTCTCTCCCCCCGTGGAGATGTTAACAACCTCGCCTGATATACAGAAGGTCGTGGGTTCGTTCCCGACCCTGGTGGTACCTGTATATTTGGAGTTTGCGTGTCTCTCTCTCTCCCCATGGTCTCCAGGTCCTCCGGCGTTTCCCCTCTACATTTAGAATCAACGTGCGTTCAGAGTATATGGCAGCTACGTAACATTTCCACGTGCTGAGCCACATCGTTGGGCTATCATTTACGATTGTTAGGTGGCTTCTGAAAGAAAAAAAAAGCTATGTAGCTCAGCGGGGCCTTACCTGGTAAAATGAAAAACAAAAATTGTTCATTTGTATATAAGAATATGGATTACTGCAGTCACGAAAGCTTTAAATCAAATTGTTCATTTGTAGTTTAGGTTTTCTTAACGCTGGATGAATGGGAGAAGACCCGGTGCGTGTAGCTCCACAGATATTTCTCTAGAGGGCGGTTGACCCGCCACGGTTATTGCGTTCGACAATTGACTGGTGGCGTTATTTATAAATGTGTCGTAACCCTCCACCACCCGACACGGCCAATCAGCAAAAAAAAAGTGTCACGTTGACAAAAGACAAATAATTCACTACTTTAGCCCACCGGTGTGTTGAAATGTTGTGTTATAAATAACGCGATCTAACCCAAAAACCTTTATTATGAATAATATTGGTCGTGAAAGCCTACGTGTTAAATTGACTGGTGGTTTTATCTAACTCCGAAAATATGTTTTCGTCCTGTCATCCCATCGTTCGCCAAGCAATCGAACCGACAGTCGGCGGAGCGCTTGATGACCTAACAAAGGAACTAGTACATCTGTCGCGCGACGGCAGCGGTGCAGAATTCATTAAAAAAAATTGTACAAAAAACTAAAAAATCCCACCCGACCAAACCGGCGAAGGTCGTTCCGTCCGCGAGCCTTTTGGCAAGTGACACGAGCGGGACAGACAGAGGGCTGTCGCAGCGGCAAGTTGTGGTGGCTTCAGGAGAGGCCTTTCAGCAACAATAAAACAAAAAACAGGGGTGGTTACATCACGGACTCGGTCGCAGCAAGCGGGCAGCCAATCCGCAGGCCGACTCGGTACAATTCTCCCGCTCCGCTTGGAATTCTGGACAGGGTTCGCGATCATTTTTGGCTTCACTTCAAGCACCTAGTCTGGTACGCGAGGGGGAGCTCCGTGGGTTCGAAGCCGACCTTGACGCCCGTGATATCATCACATCGACCCCCGATATTTAAGGAACGAAACAGGAGGATTTCTCCACAAATTTGGCTGTCGCCTGATGATGCGAAACGTCGTACTCAGATTGTAAATGTTGTGGCTTTGCTCTCCAACACACCGGTGTTGCTGTACTAGTAACGAATTGGCCACGTTCTGTTCAGGTGACAAACCTTACTAATTGGCTATGTCGGGTGGTGGCGAGTTTAACGACACATTTATATATTTACGCGATCTAACCCAAAAAACGCGTATTATGGCTGTATATTTGGAGTTTGCGCGTCTCTCTCTCTCTCGATCTGCCAGTGGCCGCGTGGATTTTCCTCCAAGTCCTCCGGGTTTTCCAATCCACGTTCAGAATCGACGTCACGCGTTCGGAGCATTTGCCTCCGATACATTTCCACGCGACGGTGAGCCGCACACCTCGTTGGGGCTATCAATGGCGATAGCCAGGTCGCCTCTGAAAAAAAAAGAGCTACTGCATTGCTCAGAGTTGAGTAGTTTCGTTTAGAATGCGCCTTCTTAAACAAAAACAAAAAACAGGCTGCAATAATGGTGTACGCTACCCGTAACTTTGACGGTACATTTCTTCGGCCGGGTGGCGCCGGTGGCTGCTACGCTCCACTCAAGAGCCGCATGGCTCACAGGGCTATCTCTATATATATAAAAGGCAAAGTTGTGAATATGTGTGTCTGTTCAAAATGTTTAGCGTACTTCCCGACATGCAACAAACTGGAAATTTGCCATGTGGGTACTTTCCATACTGTACACTATGCACAAACATTATAAAAATACACTTTTTTTGGGGGGGGGGGGAGCTCAATAATGCATAGATTTTTTGCACGGCACGTGAGCTGTGACGTCAAATATGTCACGTGACCCGCGCATGTGGAAGCGTAACGCATTGTTGTGTAGTGGTTAGCGCTACGCTGCGCTACGAACCCGGCGACACGAGTTCGATTCCCGCTCACGGCCACCACCGGTGACGATTTTTTCAACCGCTCCTGGGCCTCCCCTAGGTCGACTCAGCCTCATACGAGTAACTGCTGTGGTGTGTGAACATCGCCACTGGGGAGACAAAGGCGGCCGCGTGTAGTGGATCCAAGTCCCGGGCGAAGCCGGGTAGTACAGCTAGTACCTAATAAATGAAACTTGAAACTGTGGTCCAGCACCGTACGTAGCGAGGGGTTGGCGGATCGCCGCACAGATGGCAAAAAAAGGTTGCGAGACTCCCCCCCCCCCCCCTGCGGGCATGGAGCAGGTCCCATGCATGTGTGCACGTCGTCTGTACGTTGTGTGCACGTCGTCTGTACGTTGTGTGTACGTTGAGCTTCTTTCGCACCGTACGTAGCCGCCCGCGCAAATCAGAGGTGCGGGGCAAGGACGATCTGAACACCCTGGCCCTGGTTCTGCCAGCAGTATGCAGCACGGCAAAGTGTGGACTGATATATCATCGATCCCCTTCTGTGTGGGATAGAGCGTTGCCCCCTCTCGCCACGCGTGGGGTTTTTTTTTTTCCTCCCACGTGTAGAATAACAAACGCTCCAACTGCCGGCAGCAGACTTCCTGGCCTGTGTCCGTGGCTCTCACTCGGCGACTGTTGTTCGGATGCAATTCGCGCAGAAATGACGTCGCAATGTACAAATTAATCATCGGATGACTTTCTTTCTTCACCCCCTCCTATTTTTTTTAAAAAGACAAAAATGTCAATGCTGATGCGTACTCTTGCGTTTATTAACGGGGGTGGGGGGTGGGGGTTGGAGAAATATTCCCGTCGGGTCGACGCATCTGTAAACAAAACCTACGGTGGTTGCGCAACCCCAGCGAGAAAACGAACAAACGAACAAAACAACTCCCTCCTGACACTTCTTTTTCTTTCCGCGAGCGGTTCGTGGGGGGAGGGGGGGTGAGTGGCGGTGTAGAGGTTGGCGCGCTGCGCCACGAAACCCGGCGTGCTGTTTCGGGTGGTGGTTCTGTGGTGTGGTGGGTCTCCCCATCCCTACCGGAGCGGCTGGCGGCTGGGTGACCTGGCCCGATGCGCCCGGAACGTCGGCCACGTCTTCCGCGTCCCGCAGCATCACCTCGTAGTACTCCTGGATGTCTGAGCGTCGGCCAAGTCGGCGGGCCCCAGCGCGACCGGCGGGCAGAAGACAAAGGCGGAGGTTTGCGGATTTTTGTTCTTTTGTTTTTAGTTTTCGCGTGGTCTGTGTGCGTATGTGATCCTCAAATCTGGCTGTCGCCTGATGGTGCCGGTTGTAATTATTTGGCGAAACGTCACGGGACTCGAATTGTAAATGTTTGTTGGTTTACTCTCCAACACACAACCGGTGGGCTGTACTCGTAACGAATTGGCACGTTCCGTTTACGTGACAAACCTTACAGATTGGCTGTGTGTCTGGTGCTGACGGGGTTGAACGACACACATTTACAATTACGCGATCTAACCCAAAAAAACCTCTGTTATGGATGATATTGGTCGCGAAAAGCCTACGTGTTAAACCGTACGTATGTACGCCGAACTTCTTTCGCACCGTACGTAGCCAACCGTGCTAATCGGTGATGCGGGGGGGGAAAGGCGAAAAGTTACACACAGAAAAAAACAGTTCTGAAGAAATTAGTTTTCAATATAGTAGAGTGGTGTAGTGCAAGGCCGTAGCCATGGAGTCAAAATTGGGGGGGGGGGTCATATCTTCCAGGGGGTCTGGGGGTCCCCCCCAGAAAAAAATCTAAATTTGAAAACGAATTTCCTGCCTAAAATATAAAAAAATTCACTAACACATAGGATGGACTTATTTATTTATTTTTTTACAACAATGTCTAATAGTGTTATTGTATTACATTGCTCTGTTTTTTTCTTTTTACCTTTTTTGTTTCATTGTATGTAATGGCAGAGATTACAATCATAACCACAATCATATAAACAGAAATCTATTTTATAGCAATATATTTGGGGGGACATTTTGAGCATATTTGAATATTATAATTACGGCCTTGGTGTAGTGTATAGTGTAGCGTATGCATGTCAAACTTCTTTCGCGCCGTACGTATAGCCAAACGTGCGAATCGGAAGTGCAGGGGGAAGGACAACAAACTAAATACAAAACACAGTTATACAGAAATTACTTTTCAATTATACTACAGTAGTGTAGTCTAGTGTATAGTGTAGTATATGGTAGTGTATAGTGTAGTGCATAGTCACGTATAGTGCAGTGTGTAGTAGTGTAATGTATAGCCGAGTGTATAGTGTAGTATGTGCAGCGTATGGGGCAATACGTATGCATGTTGAACTTCTTTCGCACCGTACGTAGCCAACCGTGTTGGTCGGAGGTGGCAAGGAAACTAAACACACAGAAACAGCAGCTCTAAAGAAATGAGTTTTCAATCGAGATTTAAAAGTGCTCAGCTTCCCAGCACGCTTTGAGCGAATTCCAGCTGACGAGTGTTGGTTGACACGATGAGCTGGACTGGCTGCCTATCAACTACTGGGATCGCGTACAAACGACGCCTTGGGGGCCGTCCATAAATGACGTCACGCGATTTTGGATGATTTTTTCCCCCCCCCCCACCCCTCCTCGTCACACGGCGTCACAAAAAGTCAGACCCCCCCCCCTCAAATATGACGTCACAAAGCTCTGCCACCACCCCCCCCCCCCCAAAAAAAAACATATTTCCATTTTGAAATTAAAACATGCTTCAAAATCGCTTTGAACTATTGTCATTGTAGTGCGTATTTAACGTGGCGCTGCACTCTGATGTTGTAGGAGTGTTGTTATAACAATTAGTGTTGTTATAACAATTCTATATTTATTTAAAGTTGCGCATTTTGATGTGACGTCACATTTCTCAAACCACCCCCCCCCCTCGTCATAAATGTCCGACCCCACCCCCTAGGTGCGTGACGTCATTTATGGACGGCCCCTTACTCGTCTTCGAGAGTCTCCATCGATCCGCTGCGCCCTATCGCGCCGGCTTCAAAAGACCCAAATCGACTCCGACTATGACGGTCTGCTCGAGGTGACCCCTGCTGCTGTACCTGCCACGTGTGTGAACCTCGCAGTGTCGGGGGTCTCCGGCCCAGAGACGCGGGAACACCTGCTACCAAGCTCACGTTCGGGCACCATCCCTGAGTCTCAGCCAGTTCCGTAACACACTCAAAACGTTGAACAAGTAGGGGGCTTTCGCGACCAATATCGTCCATAATAGAGAGGGGTTTGTTGGGGGATAGATCGCGTAAAAATATAAATGTTGTGTCGTTAAAACCCGCCACCACCCGACACAGCCAACTTGTAAGGGTTGTCGCGTAAACAGAACGTGGGAGAGTCGTGGGTGTCACGTGCGTGAGTCGTGGGTGTCACGTGCGAGAGACGTGGGTGTCACGTTGGTGAGACGTGGGCGAGTGGGCGCACCGCTCTGAACGATCGCGTCACTGATGGTTGCTTTCGCCACGCACACAGCCCTCTCTGCCACGCGGTGGACCGACAGACGGACAAATAGGCAGACGCCACCGCCAGCACTCTCCAAACACACCAAGGCCATTAGGGGGATGGTGGCCTGAACGGAGAGCCAGAATAAACACGGCGCGCGCGTGTACAGCGGCAGAGCGGTACGGAACTTCGCGACGAATCCTCGTGGGCGTATGAGACTTCCTATTATTATGTAAAACATCGTGAGACAAACCGAGCACCTCACCCCCACACACGCCCTCGATTGAGCTGTGTGTGTGCGTGCATTGCTGGTGCAAAGCCCGCAACGTGCAATGGACGCATCACAAAAGAGGTTGTAGGCACGTGACAAATGTCCCGTTTTGACATTTAAACCCCGAACCACCATAAAAAACACCCCCCCCCCCCCCCAAAAAAAATCCACAGCAAACGCGCAGCTTGAATGATGAAAAAGTAAGGAGAGGTCAAGAGGGAGGGAAGGACTCTGGGTGGTGGTGGTGGTGGCCCCATAATTTAAAGAAATACCAGGGCATCGTATTACAATCAACATTCGAAACGCGCCCCACGCAAGCTTCAGCTGCCTCTCCCCAGCCCCGCCCCCCACCACCACCACCACCACACGCACAAAGACAAAGCTCCCCCGTGTAGCCTCAGCAGAATGTTGGGGACAAGTGCTGTTAGCGAGTAGCAGCACCTACGAAGGCCGGCACGGCACACGAGGGGGTGGGTGGCTAACGCCACGCCCGGCCGCCTTTGTCTCCCAATTGTCCGGCATCGCCGCTGTGTGTCGAGCGCTAGTTATCTCACCGCCACCCCACGAGCAACACAAATTAGAACGGTGAGCCTCAGTTCGTGGCACAGCCGAGACGCCACAGGGCGCCACGTGACGGCGCGCGTGTGTGCGTGTGTGTGTGCGTGAGTGTGTGTGTGCGCGTGTGTGTGTGTGCGCGTGTGTGTGCGCGTGTGTGTGCGTGCGTGTGTGTGTGTGCGTGTGTGTGTGTGCATGTGTGCGTGCGTGTGTGTGTGTGCGTGTGTGTGTGCGTGCGTGTGTGTGCGCGTGTGTGTATGCGTGTGTGTGTGCGTGCGTGTGTGCGTGTGCACTCCAGCGTAGAATCCCTCTTAACGACGGGCCTCCAAAGAGCCCAATGTGTTGTGTATAGTGTAGTGTATAGTGTAGTGTATAGTAGTGTACAGTGTAGTGTATAGTAGTGTATAGTGTAGTATATATAGTAGTGTATAGTATAGTAGTGTATAGTATAGTAGTGTATGTATAGTAGTGTATAGTGCAGTGTATAGTGTAGGGTATAGTAGTGTATAGTGCAGTATAAATTGTTGTGTATAGTAGTGTAGAGTGTATCGTAGTGTGTAGTGTATAGTATAGTAGTGTATAGTGTAGTATATATAGTAGTGTGTAGTGTATAGTATAGCAGTGTATAGTGTAGTATATAATAGTGTGTAGTGTATAGTATAGTAGTATATATAGTAGTGCATAGTGTAGTATAAATTGTAGTGTATAGTAGTATCACAGTAGAACCCCTCTTAACGGCCACCCCTGTTAACCGCTAATCGCTTAATGACGGGTCTCCATAGAGCCCAATGTGTAGTGTATAGTGTAGTAAAAAGTAGTGTATAGTAGTGTAGTGTATAGTAGTGTAGTATATAGTAGTGTAGTGTATAGTGTAGTGTATAGTAGTGTAGTGTATAGTAGTGTATAGTGTAGTGTATAGTAGTGTAGTATATAGTAGTGTAGTGTACAGTGTAGTGTATAGTGTAGTGTATAGTAGTGTAGTGCCTCCATAGAGCCCAATGTGTTAGCTTACCGACCATTCCCCTGTTAACGACGGCCGGTTGTGGTCACACAAAATATCAATTAATGCATTGCTTAACCATGTTTATTTTCAATAGCATGCGTTTATAACGTTGTCAGTATCTTCATCATGTATTCATACTTGGCCGTGAGACAGCTGCTGTCTCTGGTACGGCCCGGGCGTGCGGTAGGCACGTGCGTGTCATCTGTCGGTGGTGGTTGGTGGGAGTGGGGAGTCTATTTTTAAATAATAGGGCCGCACGTTAGTCATGAACCCCATCCTCATCCCCTCCGTGCTGTGTCGCGCTATTGGCGATCAGCACGCTGGACTTGCAACCCAGTAGGAGTGAGTGGTCAGCTGCAACGACCGCTCTGGTTGTGGAGTAACTCATGCAGCCAGCTATGGCTCTAGGATTTGGTGTTACATGTTATTTATGTAGTTTATTGTAAAAATTCGGTCACAGTCCCTGTGATCACTGTTACGTTGCAATTATGGCTTTAGTTTTTGGTGATTTGGAAAACGTTTTTTGGTTTGGACATGTTTTGTTGTAGTACGGAGTTAGACTGACGGCCTTAATCTAAGTTTTTGTGGTTGTTGTTGTTTGACTTGCATCCCACTGGGATTTTTTGCACACAGCGTTGGTGTACGGTGCTTTTTTCAGGAATATTTTTGCTGTTTTTTCCATGGATTTTCTGTTTGCATAGTCACATAGTCACTTTAAGATGTTTTTCTTGTTCGTGTTTTTTTTGTTACGATTGCACCCGATTCAAGAGCCGAATGGCTCACAGGGCTATACCAAAATAAATAAAACTGAAAAAAAATAAACTGGTGCAACGTTTCGTAAATCCGCCACTCATCCAACTCCCTCTGTCTCACACTCCCCTCCCCTGTCCCCCACGTCTCTCCACCCAGCATCGGGATAAAAACTAAAACTTGAAAAAAAATTCATTCGAAGCTTTCGTGACTGCAGGAATTACTCTTTGGTTATTTCGGTAAAGTCTCGGTAGAAATAAAATAAATAAAATAATAGAGTACGACGTTTCGATTGCAACACAAGCAACCGTCATCAGGTAGAACTACATTTGAGACAGAAAACACAGATTGTGTCTCTCCCTCTCTCTGCTTGTGTGTCTGTGTGTCTCCGTGTCTGTATTTTGTCTCTCTCTGTCTGTGTCTATGTTGTGTGTCTCTCTCTGTGTCTGTGTGTCTATGTTGTGTGTGTCTGTCTGTGTGTCTCCGTGTCTGTATTTTGTCTCTCTCTCTGCTTGTGTGTCTGTCTGTGTGTCTCCGTGTCTGTATTTTGTCTCTCTCCGGGTTATCCGCTTTCATCACATAGCGAATTCGAATGAACGGCATAACCGCTATTGGCCAACACGTGCCGAAATGCTAAAAAGTTACCTGCGCGGTACTCGACTGGGATTTTTCCATGGGACCTCCCTTGCTTGTGTAGTGACATCGTAGGATGTCACTGTGTAATGCCGGCCCTAGAGAGGCTCAGTGAGGGCCGATGGATCGCGCTGGATAGCACCACGCGTGGCGTGCAGTGCCGACCCCTACAGGACAGGGTGTGGGGGTGCCGGCCATGGAAATAGGGTTACTAAAGGCCATGGCACTCTGGTTGACCCTCAGAGGACACGTGACCGGTTAAGTCTACACAGGGGCCCCAAGTGGGGGCTAGGGGTGGACACGTGGTCGGGGTCGAGATCCTGGTCGAGGATTCCGGAAGGTGGGCGTGGCCAAGGGCGGAGCCGGCCACGCCGCAGAGGACGTAAGCCGGGTCCCCCAGATGGACCGGCGCTGTTGTTCATCTTGAAGAAATCTACGTCTACGTCCTAGAAGAGTCTCCAACACGTGGACCTGGAACCAAAGCTGTGGTCCGGTCCGTAGTAGCTAGTTACGTTGTAATTAGTGTAGTTAGCCTGGTGGTCCACCACCAGGCTAACTACACCAGTTACGTTGTAATTAGAGTAGTTAGCCTGGTGGTCCACCACCATAGGTTGTTGTTCTGTTAAGGGGCAGTTACCCCGTGTGTTGGTGTTAATAAATGTGTTGCCTCCAAGAGTATGTCTGCGACTCAGTTGAACTCACTACACTAGTATCGACATCTATGAATAGGTTTTACCCTTTCAGGCAATAAAACAGTTGTCTTAAGATGTGAAAACGCCAAACAGAATCCCTTTTCAAGGATTCATGTCCGCATTAACCACACATATTTGTGATGAACATGCAAACAAAAAAACACGTGCTCTGGTAGTTGATGATGATGATGATGCATTGTCTTTGAAACTGATCGATCCACACCAGAGACAGCTTTCTTTAGAGCGTCGTCTCAAACGGTGTTAGGCCAGAGGACGCCAGAATAGGCGAACGCGTGTGGACAAATCAGTTACAAAGACAATGCATCATTACACTACCAGAGCAGCAGCAGCAACATCGCCCCCTACTGCAAAACAAAAAAACTTGACAGGACCCTCCTGAAAAGAGTCTTGAAACTCACTGAAGGCTTTTCTGAAATAAACAGGCAGAATAATACGACTACTACGAATATAAAATAACGCTGCACACAGTATGATCTCATGTAACACCGCGTGCGTGTTTTCATGACGCGAAGCGGATATGCAACGCGATGAATGTATTCGGGGAACACGTTTTGTGTCATTTATACAGGGTGCTTCAAAAAAAGTGTTAACACTTACATGGGACTATCGTTTTTTTAATGGCAAACGAACGGATAATAATAATAATACACTGTAACGTGATAACAAATGTGATGTTAATAGCTTCAGCAAGTCACAGAGTCTCCCACGTGTTCGCCATCATTGTCAACACATTGCCTGGAATCTTCTCAGGGGCGGAGCCACGAGGGGGGGGGGCTGGGGGGGGGGCTCAGCCCCCCCTGAAATTGTGGGAAAGTCGGTAATCGGGATAACCGGATATCGGGCTGCTGCAAAATGCTGCAGGCTGCCACCTTGTGCTGCCCTGCAGGCTGCCACCTTGTGTGCTGCCCTGCAGGCTGCCACCTTGTGTGCTGCCCTGCAGGCTGCCACCTTGTGTGCTGCCCTGCAGGCTGCCACCTTGTGTGCTGCCCTGCAGGCTGCCACCTTGTGTGCTGCCCTGCAGGCTGCCACCTTGTACTGCCCTCCAGGCTGCCACCTTGTGCTGCCACCTTGTGTGCTGCCCTGCAGGCTGCCACCTTGTGCTGCCCTGCAGGCTGCCACCTTGTGCTGCCCTGCAGGCTGCCACCTTGTGTGCTGCCCTGCAGGCTGCCACCTTGTGCTGCTGCCCTGCAGGCTGCCACCTTGTGCTGCTGCCCTGCAGGCTGCCACCTTGTGTGCTGCCCTGCAGGCTGTCACCTTGTGCTGCCCTGCAGGCTGCTTGAGCAGCAGCCTTTCGAACTTACCGAACCGATCAGCCACATCAGCAGCTCCGACCTATTAATAAACTCCGCGTTCAAATCCAATAAAATTTGTTTTCTACATTTGTGGCGCCCATTGGAAAACATTACACTAGATATCTCAGAATATTGAAGTCAGCCCCCCCAAGTCAAAATCCTGACTCTGCCCCTGGATCTTCTCCAGGTGGTCTCCAGAGCCCAGG